TCTAGTCAAGGCTATGGTTTTTCCAGTGGTCATGTATGGATGTGAGAGTTGGACTATAAAGAAAGCTGAGCGCCAAAGAATTGATGCTTTTGAACTGTGGTGTTGGAGAAGACTCTTGAGAGTCCCTTAGACTTCAAAGAGATCCAACCAGTCCATCCTAAGGAAATCAGTCCTGGGTGTTCATTGGAAGTACTGATGTTGGAGCTGAAACTCCAATCCTTTGGCCACCTGAGGCAAAGAGCTGATTCATTTGAAAAGACCCTGATGCTGCGAAAGATTGAAGGCAGGAGGAGAAGGGAATGACAGAGGATGACATGGCTGGATGGCATCACCGACTCAATGGACATGAGTTTGAGTAAACTCTAGGAGTTGATGATGGACAGGGAGGCCTGGCGTGCTGCAGTCCATGGGGTCACAAAAAGTCGGACACGACTAAGCGACTGAACTGAACCTAAAGTCCCCCGTTCATCCCTTTTCTTGATTCCTTACAATTTATTTGTTTAACAACCTGGGCCATTTGACATGTAGAGTTTACCACAGTCTGGATTTTGCTGATTTAGATACTCCTAATACAGTTCTGAATGTTCTTGTGTCCTCAATATCTCCTGCAAATTGGTAGCTGACTCCAGAAGCTGAATCAGACTCAGATTTGATCACTTTGGCAGGACTCTTAAGAGGCATATGAATCCTGTCTCTATGATTATGATTTTTTTTCAGGTGTTGATGTTTATTGCCTAAAGCCATTAATTCATTGAGGATTACAAAATGGTGCCAATAATTCTATAATTTTATTTATCCATTGAAATACTTTAAAAAATAGAAACATCCTCTTGTCTACTATTTGATTTCTGAGTGTACAGTTCACATAGGAAAGGTAAAATAAATATTTGATTCTTTTTTGGGGCTGCCCTTGTGGCTCAGCTGGTAAAGAATATGCCTGCAATGCAGGAGACCTGGGTTTGATCCCTGGTTTGGGAAGACCCCCTGGAGAAGGGAAAGGTTACTCACTCCAGTATTCTGGCCTGGAGAACTCCATGGACTGTATAGTCCATGGGGTTGCAAAAAGTTGGACATGACTGAGCAACTTTCACTTTGACTTTTCTTTTTTCACCAGTTTCGAAGATAATGAATTGAATCCTTATCATACTCCAAAGTTGACTACTCTTAAAAATATTATTATAATAAATATATGTATCATTATGAATCTATGCATGCATACTAAGTCACTTCAGTTGTGTCTGAGTCTTGTGACCCTATGGACTGTAGCCTGCTAGGCTCCTCTGTCCATGGGATTTTCTAGGCAAGAATACTGGAGTAGGTTGCCATGCCCTTGTTCAGGGGATCTTCCTGCCCAGAGATTGAACCCAAGTCTCTTAGGTCTCCTACATTGGCAGATGGGTTCTTTACCACTAGCACCACTTAGGAAGTTCTAGGAACCAATAGGTTTTATATATACTTGATGGGTTTCATGTTGTCATATTGAAGTGCACCAACTTTGGCCAGTGGACACTAGGCTGACTTCTTAGTTCTGATGACTCTAGTAATCTTTGACAGCTCTCCTTACTGATTGTTTTGACAAAATATTCCTCAGTTATCTTGTACACTTTTTGCCCCAGACTGGAATCAACCATTTCTCTAAGAAGCCTTCAGTTTTTTAAGTGCGAAGTTATATTTCAAGGACACAGCTAGGCCTTTTCAGTGGACAGAGCTATAGATTCAGTGAATAGACTATATATATATATATATATATACACACACACACATATACATACACACACTAAAATAATTCATGAGTACAGTGATACTTCCAATTCAAATTAAAGATTAAAGAACTTTTACTTAATCTCTTCTCTAGCTCCTTTCTTAAGAATCATAGTTTTCAAGGACATAGGAGGGAATTTCCAGGTGGTCCATTGGTTAGGACTTCACACTGTCACTGCTGAGGGCCTGGGTTCAGTCCCTGCCCAGGAAGCTAAATCCCACAATGTGGTGTGGCCAAAACAAAAAAGACACAGGAGATGACAGATTTAGAATATTCCATAATTACTCCTTTCTTCCATCTCAATCACAACACACCACCACCAATATGATTACTGAAAACATTAAAGAGTATTTTACAAATGCACTTGCCATTCTCCCCCTCATTAAACAACTTTATAATGAATCTACATTGTGAGGGCATATAGTCATGGTATGCTATACTCTTTTCTTCTTAGCCCTTATGTAATTTTAGTTCTACAAGTAATCTTTTAAAAAAAAACATATTTGTTTATATGTCTACATGGGGTCTTAGATGCAGTGTGTGGGATCTTATAGTTGCGGCATATGTGATCTAGTTCCTTGATGAGAATTCAAACCTGGGCCCCCTGCATTGGCAGCATGGAATTTTAGCCACTGGATCACCAGGGAAGTCCTGGGAAAGGTATTTAAAGAGAGATGAATTTTCAAGAGTGTGAACATCAGTAGCTTCAACTAATCACGTCTTAAACTTGACCAGTTGATTGGGATCCCCTGGCTTAGATAATAACTGATTTTTCTCTTGAGTCCAGTATAGGGATCTTGTGAGCAGATGCCAATGTATTTTAGTACAGTACAATTTGGTGCTGAAAACAAGATATACAAACATTTGAAAACATAAATACACCT